ATTAGTCTTTTCTTTGAATATGGCACAGGCATAATTTTTCATGGTGACGTTCATTAATTTTATTAAACTTTACGTTTTCTATTATTAAAATGTAATTTCTCGTTTTACGACTTTCATCTCCTTCCTGCTTTCAACAATTTTTGTGTTGATTATTCAGTATTTGTGTCTGGAAGTCTTGAGAGACAGGCTGGAAATTTTAAAAACTTCAAATTTCCATCTCTGCCCACATAAAGTAATTTTCAAGGTTCTGTTGCTTCATTTCCATTTCACTGACTACCGAAAAAAAAGAAATGTTTATTAAATTCCATAATTCACGTGCCTTCTTCTCACATTGAACATAAATTATTATGATGATCCTTTCCGGTGTCTGAAATGTAAAGTAACGAAGAAGTCTCTTTTTATGGCACCTCAAGCTGCAGCTCAATGGACATTTCATTCATTTTTCATCACATTTCTCGCATTGGTTGAATGATTATCATAAATTTGATCATAAAGAAGCGAGGAGCAGGAAGAAAAAAAAAATAATTGAAGGTCTTGGTGGATTTATAATGATACGATTTAATGTCGCCATGTGCTTATAATAAGGACTAGAAAGAAATTTGATGAGTTTTGTGTTTAGGAATGATTAGAACTGATTGGTGGATGTATGGAAGGCTGTTGTCGATGTTTCTTCATATATGATTGAAAACTAAGCAATTCCTTAGCAGTTAAATGCCATTGTGGAGTTATCAATAAGGTTTAAGACTCAAATTTGATGATGAAACTCAAAGACTGTAGGTTCGAATCCTGTCATATAAAAATGTTTGTTTCTTTGGTTTAACAACCAGCTTCTGAAGTCTAGCATCAAAAATGCTCATCCAACTGACTATTCGACTCCTAAATGACCAACTAACCCAGTTATCATCCTCAATTCCACCATTTAATATCCTAAACATCCATTTCCCCACAACAAACTTTAATGTCTGCAGCCATGTCTACCAGATAATAATAATTTTGATTAATTTATGTAGTCCGATTAGCACGACGGTAAAAATAAACAGCATCAATTTCCCTTAGTTCGTATTCTTCATCATCATTACCACCAGAAATCACAAGAAAAAGGCATCCGATGACAATCAACAATCATAAATGATAAGAAGGATCATTAATTTATTTCATTAATACTAAATGCCTATTCTTCCACCCGATTCATTTCATTTATTGTTTTGTTGACCTGTGAGGGAGCTTTTTGGGAATGTTGTCTATTAATGGATGAGGGTTTTGGACCGCTGAGCTGGTTTCTTAGGTTATTTGATAGCAAATTCACAACTAAACTAAGGTTTCAATTTACTAGGGTCGATTGTAAAATCTTTGCATCCATTGATGTCGTAAAGCAAAGTTTGAGTAGGATTAGGTTAGAGTCAATGTAGTTTCATCATCCACAAACAAACCCCACACGTAACAAATAATTCATTAATTTTTTCCCCATGACTTCTTTTTCTGTTGATTTCATTCTTCACGATATGAAATTACATAATGGCAGAAATTATAAGAATGACGCCGAGAAAGTTTCCTTTTTGTAATTTCTGTATCTTATTATGGATGCTTTTTTCATGATTTATTTTTATTAAAGAGCTAAGGCTTAGAACTGAGAATGAGGAAGATGAAAAACTGTTGATGATGAAAAAGAGGCAATTAATCTAATGAGAAGGAAAAGATGTGAAACTTCTGTTTTTGTAGGCAGTAAAAATTAAAAAATTTCTAATTTTTTATTGACTAGAGTTTCTGGAATGTAAGCTTTAGGTAGGACCAAGAATTGAGGCAATCAAGTAGTTTAAAGGAGGAGTAAGTTGAAGGTCTGATTAACAAGACTGCTCTGTCAAATAGAACCAAAGCTTCAACAACAGAGTTGCGATTTGTCATAGAAAATCGCCTGTCATTTACCTCTTAAGTGCCTGTTTTAGGCAATATTTTTTTGCATGTCACAGGCACAGTTCTGTCATACCTGTAGGCAGATTTCTATTGCCTGTGACATGTGAAAACAAAAACCTACCACAGATCAGTCACCCATACCTGTAACAGGCGACCTGTATCACAACTCTGTTACCAAAGTTCATAAAATAATCATAACCAAAAGATCCATCATCAAACTAAGAACTTAATCAATTCCAATTTCACGAATTAAATGCACAATAAACTTTTATTTTTGCTGCTTCTTTAATTATTAATTTTTAGATCTCATTAATAATCTATAGTGGACTTCCACCTTCATTAACTTGAAAGCGTAGGTGTTGTTACGTGTTTAATGAACACAACTTTTGTATGGTCGACAGCTGCAAATGATTATCCTTCATGGCAGTTTTTTTCCTTCTTCATTTCATGGCATTTGAGGTGAGGCTGAGTTAAAAAGAAAAGTTTGCGTTATGACCTTCGCATGATATGAGGCTTTACGTGATGAAGATGCTTTACCTTTAAGGATCTTTATGGATGTGAAATTTGATTCAATTTTTGGTATAAAAATTCAATTTTAACAAATTATGAGCGTAAAAATTCCCCAAAAAATTCATATTTTTGAAATTATTTTATAATCTCATATCCAAATTCATAACAAATCCCTTTCACAGAGCTTCATATGAAACACAATACAATTATATTAAGACATAAATATTCCCATACATCTTATAAAATATCTCATATCAAAAAAGATACCCAAAGGAATATTATGCATAAAAATTCTCAAGTTTGACTATATAAATTTTTGTCGTCTCATTCCAAACATCAGCAGACAAATACAGCTCATTCTGAAAATTGATATTGAAAACATTTTCATACTCATGCAACAAATTCTTTCTCATGTCTCGTGCTATTCTTAAAATTCACACAATAAATGGATATAAAAAAAAATGCAACTCATTGTTAAAATGAGACGATTCTTGTGTTATTTTAAAGACATAGACAAGAATGAACATAAACGATTTAAAAAATATTATTAAGATTTCTATTTCGACGCTTTTGAGGCGACGACTTAAAGTTGACCATAGACATTGCAAAACTAAAGCAATGATTTAATTAGCGGACTGACACATTGACTTAAGGAGCAGAACTGAAGCGTTGACTTGAGGATAAGAATTATAGTGTTAATTTAAGGTCAATAAATAAAGCGTTGACTTAAGATCAATAAATAAAGCGTTGACTTAAGACCAATAAATAAAGCGTTGACTTAAGATTAAAAATTAAATTATTGTCTTAAAGCCAAGAATTAAAGCGTCGACGTAAGGTTGAAAATTAATTTGTTGGCTTAAGGTTAAGAATTAACGCGGTGACTTAATCTTAAGAATTAAAGCGTTGACTTAAGGTTAAGAATTAAAGCTACGGCTTAAGATCAAAAATCTTATTCTACAACTTAAGGTTCGAAAACTAATGCGACGACTTAAAGTCAAGAACTAAAGCGTTGACTTAAATATTTATTAAAAATTCAACGCTCTACTTAAATTGCACGAAATAATTTAAATCAAAGCGTAACAAAAGAAAAGCTTTTCGCTGAATGTTCATATAAAAAGAACGAAGAAGCAGCAACAACGATGAGAGAAAAATACACACAGCATAAAGAAGCATAAACCTCAAATAAATACAAGACAGAAAAGGAAAATATCTTAATAAAAACAGTGAAAAATTGAAACGATAGAAAAGAATCCGTTTTCTCATTCTATGTGAAGAAGGCAAGAAAGGGATTAAAGCATCTATGAATGGAATGGCATGTTATGGTTGTGGAAAAAAGAAGGAGAAAAAAAATCATGAGGAGGAACAAAAGATAATCGTTGAAGGCTGTATCTTGAGAAGTGTGAATTTATTGGAATTTTTAAGAATCAAGCTAGGATTTTGTTAAATTTTAGAACTTTGCAAATAAGTAAAGTTATAATTTACAAGCTTTGCTTTAAAAAAAGTCGTCATTTTTAAGCATAACTTTAATTTAAGTCGTCGCTTCAAAGGTTGGCTCTTGATGAATTCATTAATTTTTAAGCTCTACTTTAAATTAAGACGTCGCTTTGAAACTGTGCTTTAAAATAAGTCGTCACTTTAAAGCATAACTTTAATTTAAGTCGTCGCTTCAAAGCTAATATCTTAATGAATGCATTGATTTTAAGCTCTGTTTTAGATTAGATTGTCGCTTTCAATTTGTGCTTTAAATTAAGTCGTTGCTTTGAAGCTGAGCTTTACATTAAGTCGTTGCTTTAAATTTGCCATCATTAATAAAACTAGTGCAAATATGGAAAATCCACAACCAAACAAAAGCTAGACAAAAAAAACTCATGTTTAATTTAAAAAATTCAAAAAATACTCGACTGAATGGGAATTTTATTTCATTATAACAAGAAGATCTGCTCATAACACCACACCATAGTCTTAGCGGTTGCAACAAGAAGCAGACATCATTTAAATAATGAACTAAATTGAATAAAGCTGTTGAGGATTCTACGCGATTTCTTCTGTTCTGCTTATAAAATATGCAATAGTCGCGATGTTATTATGATGTTGAACAACATTTTTATGCATAAATTTTCAATGAAATGGTTGAATTGTTGTTGGAAGTGCTTCGATGGGTTGGGTTGTTGGAATTATTTTTTCAAAGGAATTTGTTTGGTGGAATTTAAGGATGCAAATGTGAAACTTAATTAAGTTGGTGTGACTATGGAATTTTAGGTACTGTCAGTCGTTTCAGTGACGGCTAGATTTGACCTGGATTTAAATCAAAACTGTGAACCACGTTTTAGCAACTGTGAACTACCATCGATGCCAAGATTCCATCCCATTCTTAGCCATGAAGACATATTGATGTGACTGACATTTACTTTGGAGTCACCTCATCGAATTTTTACTCTTGAAAGGTTTAATTCTTCAAGCCAACGTCTCAAGTTTCCTTATTGGCATTTTCATTACTTAAAATAATTTGGATTTGTACATTTTGCTTGAAGTAAAAAGTCTGTAGGATTTATACTGAATTACGTATTTACGTACGTAGGCTGCAGGTTAGGATTCTCTTTTATTTATGAATCAAATTATTGTTTTAAGCACAAAGAAGGAGTTATGTCAACAAAATATCGTTTGTCATTTTTATTCTTATAAAATATTAAGTTTCATTCAGGATCCGAAAAGTTTCATGATGGCCTTCAGCAATAAAGGAAATTAATACTTTTAATGAAGATTATTGTAAGCTTGGAAATTGGATAATGTTATTTATATATTTTCGGAATTGATGATTGTTTTTAGAATAAACTGCGACATAACTTTTGCTTGTCTTGTGCGACTTTATAATTTTATTGTACCTTAATAAAAAATCAAAACTTTATTTACTCTTCAGTTTCCGGCTGCACTGAAATTTCAGGTTTAGGCATGTTATCCAATATAGCTTGAACAAATGGAGTTACTGGAGCATTTGGAAGGAAAGTGTCCAAAAATCCTCTCTTGTCTAAAAATGGCAGCCATGTCTCAATAGCCTTCTTGTAAATTGGATTTTTAAAGGCATTAATAAAGGCTTCTGGATCTCCTTTCGTCTGATCAAACATTTGAGAAATATCCAATTCCTGATCTGAGTCATACTTAACAACAAACATGACAAACATCATGTTGAATCCAACTGGAATCGAATTGGATATCAAATCAGTAAGAAACTTAGAATTTTTTTTATATTTTTACTTACAAGCTCCGCCTTTTTGCAGCATATCCAAATGAAGTTCATAAAGTGTTGGAATTGTCTGATCGTAATTCAGTTTCTTCAAGGAATCAACCAACTCAGTGTGATAAAATTGAATCAAATCATCGAAATGAGCAACTTTAACATCATCAGCAACAGAAGACACAAAGAAGTAAATTAAATCATTTGCAGGACTTCCCCAAAATGACAACTGAAAGTCGATAAATTTCACATCAAGAACTTCCCCATCTTCGCCATACTTAAACATCATATTGTTGCACCAGCCATCTCCATGATTCAATACTTTTAATCCACCTTGCATTGGCTCAGCTAGTGCCAAATAAATCAAAAATAACCTTAATGGATCCCATTTTTCTATTTTTTCAGCAATTGTCTCAAAGCCATCGATAGTCTTGATTGTTTTGAGATAATTTGCAAACATCATTTGGAAGGTTTTGGAATTTTTCTCAAGCCGTTCTGGGGTATTAAGTTTGGGATTCTGCATCATTGCAAGACGGTCGAGAAATGTGCTAATCATTCCATCCTATAATGAAATTCAATTTGGTTTTAAAATGACCCTCTAGCCTCTTCCTTCTGATGTCAGTGGTTCTCAAACTTTAATGTTCTGTGACACACTTTTTAGCTGCTAATTTAATGAAACATTATCTTACAAGTTTTCAAATAAAATCTGTATCACAACACAAAGTTTGAGAACCACTGCTCTAAGTCTAACTGCACACTATCTTCGGTCATTGTCCTACATTTTGTGCCTCGTGCTCTACAAACATTTTCTACATTGTTTGATAATAATGTTATCACATACTTGAGATAGCAGGCTCACTTTTCAATGTTATCAGATTAATAAATCTTAAATTCCAAATTAAAAACTACCTTAAATGGTAAAAGCATGAACTCACCTTTTGATAACGAACTGCACTTGCCGCGTGGAATTTTGCGAATTTACTTAAAACTAATTTGGAGTGTTCTAGGTTCAATCCAACTTTTCGATCAGCCATGATGTAGTTTTGTTCCTTTAAGTCATCAAGGACGATGATTTCAAATGGTTTGTAGTCAATTTTAATGCATTTTGGACCAAACTCGACAACCTCATTTGCTCTTTCCAAGAATGTATTCTCAAAATCTTCAATAACATCTTTATAGACGACAATTTCATGCTCAAAAAATTCAAAATCCTTCATTTCCTCAATTGGTGAAATTAAAGCCTTGACAATCACATCAACAAGCTGCGATTCTTTTGTCTCGAGCATTTCAATTCTGATTTTCGCACGATACACGACCGATGCATAATTTTCATTCTTTCCTGTGGCTGGTGAGATGAAAACAAGTCGTAGCTTAAACTGATCTCGAGTAATTTTCAATTTACGCTCAACAATGTCAATGAAAAATTCGTCATTCACTGCGTCACTGTTTAAAAATGCTGTGGATGCCTCGTCGCGTGCACTCATGATTGTGTCAGCTTTAATTATTTCTTACAACTGAGGCTTGATCAGTATGAACATTTACTTTTTGTTGTTATTGAAGTTTGATAGTAATGCTTGTTATCAATGAGATTAGATATTGGAAATGGATGATGTTGGTGTATTTGATTCGTAGTGACTTTAATACTAGAATGGGAATTTCATGAATGGGGAGATATTTTTGATAAATCTTGACTGAACGCCACACGAACGTAGATAGCCATTTATGAAAACGAGAACTGCTACCATAAAATCATTAGTAAGTTGAACTTTAATAAGGAACAGCAAAATAAACACGATTTGAAACTTAAAATCAATTTTATTTCAATAAACAAGTTAAAATTATTCTTCAGTTTTTGGTGGTTCAGGCATTTCAGGTTTTGGCATTTGGGCAATGATACCTTGAACAAATGGTGTCATTGGAGCATTTGGAAGGAACGCATCTAAATATCCTCTTTTGTCTAAGAAAGGAAGCCATGATTTGAAAGCTGCTTGATAAATTGGATTTTTAAACGCAGCTTCAAACATTCCTGGACTGTCTTTTGTCTGCTCGAAGATCTGAGTGATGTCTAAGTCCTGTGGTGAGTCGTATTTAGCGATGAACATGACAAACATCATGTGGAATCCAACTGGAATTGAATAAGAATTAAATTAGTAAGAAATTCATATTTTTAAAGGTTTTACTTACAAGCACCGCCTTTTTGAAGTAAATCTACATGCAGTTCATAAAGTGTTGGAATTGGTTGGTCATAATTTAACTTTTTTAAAGAATCAACCAACTCATTGTGATAAAATTGGATCAAATCATCAAAATGAGCAACTTTAACATCATCAGCGATTGAAGATATAAAAAAGTAAATTAAATCATTTGCTGGACTTCCCCAGAAAGACATTTGGAAGTCAATAAATTTCAAATCAAGAACACGTCCCTCGTCATCATATTTAAACATCATGTTGTTAAGCCAATCGTCACCATGATTTAGTACTTTTAATCCACCTTGCATTGGCTCAGCAATTGCCATAAAAATTGTCATTAGCTTCATTGGGTCCCATTGTGACATTTTTTCAGCAATTTTCTCAAAACCTTTAATATTTTGGGCAGTTTCGACTAATTTTCTGTACATCATTAGGAAGGCTTGAGTGCTTTTTTCCACTTGTTCTGGTGAGTTCATGCTTTCACTTTGCATCATGACGAGACGATCCAAGTGTGGGCTGATAATGCCATCCTATTAAAAGTATATGAAAGATTAATTCACAACTTACAGCACTGGTTTTTCCTTCCAAATAAGGTCAATGAACCAAACAATTCAATCAAGCTGCTAGTCTTAGACGCATCACTTGTTTTATATTCAGTCATTGCCCTTGAATTTTATTTCTATTTTGGGACTTTTAAAAAACAGTTTGATAATAATGTTATCGCATACTTACGATAACATTAATACTTTTTGGATAAAGCATAGAACTTCCTTAAATGGCAAAACAATACAAACCTTTTGATGACGAATCACACTTGCTGCATGGAATTTTGCAAGTTTACTGAAGACTAATTTTGATTCCTCTAAACCTAATCCAACTTTTCGATCGGCCATGACGTAACCTTCAGCTTTTAAGTCATCAAGAACGATGATTTCGTAAGGCTTAGACACGATTTTAATGCATTTTGGACCGAACTCGACAACTTCATTTGCTCTTTCCAGGAATGTATTCTCAAAATCCCCAATCACTTCTTTATAGACGACAATTTCACGTTCAAAAATTGCAAATTCCTTCATTTCCTCCATTGTCACAATCAATGCCTTAACAATCACATCAACAAGCTTTTTCTCTTTTGTTTCAAGCAATTCAATGCTAATTTTCGCACGATACACAACCGATGCATAATTTTCATTCTTACCCGTAGCCGGAGCAATGAAAACAAGTCTAAGTTTAAACTGATCTCGCTTAATGTTCAATTTACGTTCGACAATATCAATGAAAAATTCATCATTGACTGCGTCACTATTTAAAAATGATTTCGAGGCCGCATCAGTTTTACTCATGATTGTGTCTTTTATGATTTTCTCGTCGCAACTAACGAGAGACTAGTGAGAACATTTACTTTTTGTATGTCTCAATTCATATCGCTTTGATTCAATCATTTAGTGATTATTTTTTATGATTGTGTTGGAAGCAGTTGCTATCATTGTGATTAGATACTGTGAATGGAAGTTGGAAGAGTTTTGAGGTGGAATTGAGAAGGGAGCGATTTTTGAAGTAATCTTTAAAAACTGGAACTGGTTCATGGGATAACTAAGTTGTCTCACAATATGAGTCGTGAATAGCTCAAGCCGGATATAGAGACAAAAACCACGACTTGAGGGAAAAATCCTCGTCACGATAATTAAAAGACTTGGGAAATATTCATCGGTAAGGCACCTAGGTGTCTAGTTTTTTATTATATTCATTATAAATGCATTACTTTCACCAAAGTTGAAGATTTTAAACATTATCAGTGTTAGTAGTATTTAATAGATAATAGAAATTTCCCCTTTAGGGTCGTAACTAGTCTCAGCTCACCCCCTAGCTACGAGCCTAGTTTCTAGAATGAATAATATATTTAAAAAAAGGCAAAGTGCTCAACCTCAATTACTCTATTGATCTGAAATCATTATTAAGTGCGGCATAATGACCCTAAATTGAAAGAATTTTGTTTTATTTTTATTAGCGTAAGTAGACATGTGTTTGAAATTAGATAGCCATATATTGCATCGCTGGTGGATATCGTGTATCAGATTAGTTTTTTTTTGGTTTTATTGTTTTCATAAATGTGATGCAATTAAAGGAACTTTTTGTATAATTGAGGAGATTCTGATTAAGAAAATTTGAATTGTTATTTAAAGTTTAATGGAGGAAGCTAAGGATATGGTTGTGAGGAAGTCCAGTGAAAGGTTTTTTTCTAATTTTCCACAGTTATTTGTGCTCCGTAAATCATTATTTGTGCAAGCGGTTGGGATTCGACTATAAACTTAGGTCTAATGCAGTGTTGTCCAAACTTTTTTGAGCCACGGCACATCTGAAAGATAAGCCATGACCAAAGTCACACACAGTATGAGGCTCGTGTCAGTTTCAAAAAGTTTCTACGGCACACAGGTAGGACTATACTGGTCTAAAGGGTGTGGTACAATCGATTCTGTTCTAATTTGAATTGTAGTGCCTGCAGCTCAAAAGGCTGAGCTCTCTTCATAATTTATGTGCTTCGTAACATTCAAGTGATCCCCAAAAAAAACAATAAATATCAAAAGATGACTCAAACAATTTATTTCAATCTCCATAAAATATTTCAAACTTCATCTCCACTTCCAACTGAGATTTTTCAACATCTCCAACCTAAGAATATTCACAAAAATAGACCAGCATTCATTTATTCAGATCATGAACTGACTTAATAACTTTGAATAAAATAAAAACTTTTCAAATGAAATTTTTAAAGACTTTTCTTGACAAAAATCCTCAACAAAAACAAATTTAAATCTGTTTTCAATCTCCCCCATAAAATCTCCGAATCCCACAATTGATGACTAAAAATAATTCATGCATATCAGTAATCATTTAAAACTTGATGATCCAAAAAAATGGGACTTTCATTTAAAAAAAACTTTTTCTTCATGTTGGAATTGGAAGGACTTTTTTTTGTGGAAGTTTAAACAATAAAATGTCTCCGATGAATTGACATCAAATCCCTCATTTATCATTCTACCATTCCTATGTCCTGACAAAAATAAGGAGACTTCGTGTACCGAGTAGCAGATGTTGTTATTGATTGGAATTGGTTGTGCTTAAGAGTTTTTTTTTTAATGATTGAAATGAGGTGTCATTCATATTTGATGGACTTAAGATGTTTGAGATTCTAGAATGTAAAGTGAAAAAGAAAGGAAGCTCGTTCGAGGTCAATTCAGCTAATAACATTTCCAATCCAAATGTCATGTCCATCTCGGATCTCCAGCAACCTTCAAACTCATAAATTTCAATCAATTCTAATAGAATCTCATGTAATATTGTTTTCATAGGAAAAACAGCACATCAGGAAGTAGAAAATATTTGGATCTACACCTGAGCTTTTATGATGGAAGCGCAACAGTTTTGTAAGAAAATAAAAAAAAAATCCACAATGAATAGAAAGTAAGAAGACATCCCAAAAGTTTCTTAAACGCAAAAAAAAAATATATAAATTGAGTTTGGGATTTTGAAGCGATGAGGAAGAAAAAAAAACTTCTTCCGCAACTTTGAAAATTAATTTTTCTTCTTTACGTTCGTTTTCCTTTTTTTTCTCAGCGTCTGTCATTAAAGCTTTAATAACATTCAATTTTTTTTATTTCAGTCAGGCCTAAATAAACAGAATGGGAGAAAAAGATTGAGACGAGGATTCACAGCCAGTTTCAATTACACAAATTTTTTTTCTTCAAGTTGAATTTCTCATGAGACTTATTTAATTAACAAAATCCAATTAACGAGGAAGTATTAAGGATGAAAATTGAAAGCTAATGAAGCGAGGATAAATGTGAATTTGATACAAGAATGGAAATTATTTTAAACATCTTTGAAGTAAGTTTTGTGGCTGAAGATGGAGGCAATTGAATTTTCAGATGTAGGCTTTAGCACTGTTTAGGGTGTAAAGACGAAGAAATTGCTTTTTCAAAAAAGTTAATCTGATTAAGCAAATGATTAGGAATAATAAACAGAAATTAAAGTTTTAATAGCTGTGAGGTAACATGCGACTATAAAGTTTTATAGATTAAGCAGATAATTTGTGAGCTCTCAAGGTTCTTATTGTTTTCAAAAGATTCTGTTTGTTTAGTATGGTTGTAGCTGAACTTTATCGTTGACGCAGGAGTTGGCATCTGAATTTTTGACGTTGACGCAGCAATCGTGGGCTCAGTTCCAAAAGCATCGTGTCAATTGTGAATCACATATTCTTAAATGAAGTTCTCTGCCACTTTTTAAAGATGACTAGCAGAGATTTTTTCAAAGAAAAGGTTTGAATCGTGCTATAATATGTTTTCTAAAGCTACCTAAGGCACCTTACCATTGACTGTGACTAGAGTAAGAATACGGAATGTAAAGTATCAAACAATAAGCATGAGAATCTATCAATACGAGAGTAAAGTAAGGTACCCGAATGGCACAAGTCGTTTAATCGATCAGGATTTTGGCACTAAGCTGGTGTGACTTTTGCATGGTGCTGGATTTAAATCGAAGCAGGCTGGGCGCTGAATTTTCATTCGATTAATGTGACAGGGGCGTAGCCAGGAACTTGAAGAGGAGGTTACAAATTTTTTTTTGTATGAAAAACTTTTAAAGAAGGGGGGGGGGGGGTATTTTTCGAGTTTTTTATAAAAACTTGATAAAAACTCTAACAAAATGAAGAAATTTTTCCAGTGATGATAAATCTAAAAAATCACTATCTCTGAGGAGATCTCACAAACTTCACATACATTTCTTACTAAGTCTTTCGATGCATGCTAGTAACGCCAACTGAATCATTGAAGAGAACAAGCAAAAATCAGTGAGAAATGACTCTCAAAAATTCTCATAATTATTTTTTTCTCAAGCATTGTCACTATTAGGAACTAATTTACTACAAAAGAGTTTCAAAGCATCAAAGAAATTCAGAATTAGATTTTTATTTGCTCCATAACAGCTCAAAAATTTACAACAGGCAGTTAGAATTAAATTGTTATAAAATAAGAACTTTTTAATAATTAAACTTCAAAAATTCTGTTTAAAGAACAAGAAAAGTGAGAACAAAATAAAGTTCACTAACCGGATCGTACACAAGCTCCGCCCATTCGCTGGTGTTGCGTAATTTTAATTTTTGCAGCGTCTTCACATGTGAACATATTGTGGATTGCTGTTTATTTACAATTCTGAATTTTTAAACGTAAGTATTAAAATTATTTGAATTCCGATTTTCTATCAAGTATCAAAATACTTTGTGTCTCAAATTTTAGGTCAGCTTTAAACAACTGATTAAACTAGAATGAACTCAATTTCATCATTCTTTGCGTCGCTGGATCCAATTTTATTCATCGAAATTCTTGAAAATAAATTGACAATTTCCCGCGAAAAGTTCACATTCAAGTCTGCATCGTTGGCATCAGCGAGTGGAAAGAATGGCAACTTTGTATCCGATATTTATCGACTTTCAATCAAATTTGACCTTCCAGGAACTGACGAACAAGCAATTGATGTGATTATGAAAGTGTCATTCGATATTGTGTCTGAAATAAAGCAATTGTCAGTTTTTAGAAGAGAGCAGTTGATGTATGAAGACATGATTAAAAGTTTTGAAGGCATTTGGACTGAAAATGGACATGATATTATTTTTGCTCCAAAACTCTATAAAGTGACTGATGTTCCATGTGAAATAATCGTTCTCGAGGACCTTAAAGTTGACGGCTATCAAATGATGAGTAAAAAAGATGGCCTTGATCTTGAACAGACTAAGCTTGTCTTATCAAAACTTGCGAAATTTCATGCAGCAAGTGCTGTTCGTTTAGTGAAGGTCAGTAGATTTTTTTTTCTGTGTATGGTTTTGTTTACATTCTTATTTGAATGAGCTGAAACATGTGATTGTATAAACATATGGTTGTATTGGTTAATATTCTGGGTTGTGCTTTATTGCTGGAATATTTTTCAATTCATTCAAAAAAAAATTACAATGAGCATAGAACACAGATTTGTAGCTACAACTTGAAGGGACGACCTAAGCGCATTTTCTTTGCGTAGATCAGTAAAATTGTGTTAGAGTTTTATTCGGAACTAAAAGCATTGATCCAGGAGCATTTAAGTCATGTCCAGAACTAAAGACATTAATCCATGATGATATAAGCTAGCCAGGCAGCTAAAGTGGATTTAAAAGCGCATTGAGTGTATAACTGGCTGCAAAATAATTTTTTATTTAACAGGACAACAAAGTCATTAACCATTGCTTCAATAGAGTCGCTACTCACGTAAAGCACTTACCTGATAGTCCAATAATTTCATCAATGCAAAGACTCTTCAACAAATTAATTCAAGTTGCACAAACATTTTCCAGTGATTATAGTGATAAAATGACTCAATGGCCACTTGATATCCTTATGGACTCGTACTTTGATGTTGCACATCCGATGAAATGTGGATTTATGACACTTATTCATGGTGACTTATGGACTAATAATATTTTATTTCAAGAAGATTCTGATGGAAAATCAATTGATGTTAAAATTATTGATTATCAGATATCATTTTGGGGAAGTCCGAATGCTGATTTAATTTATCTGCTGTTCACGTCTGTGATGGATGACGTGAAGGTAAAGCATTTTGATGAAATCATTGAATTTTATTATAGAGAGTTAAGGATGTCTTTGGAAATGGTAAAATATGGTGGATACATACCGACAGTTGAGGAACTGAAGGATGATTTGATGGATAATCGGATGTATGGTAAGAACTGGAAGTAAATTGAGCAGCTATTGTTGCTCGAATTTCGATTCCTTCACAATAATAAATTAATTTTGAGTCCCACACATGGACAGGTCTTTCTAAAAAGTCAGACATAACTTATGAACGGCCCTCAATTTAATCTTTTTATTTTCTAATTCAATTATTTTCATTCCGATTCAGCAAACCAATTATTCCCGCTCATAATACCAATAACGAGAAATTGTTCATCGACAAACTTAGAAATAAAGGACTTGTTTGGTGGAAACCTTACGGAAGAAACATTAAATGCTGTATTTATGGACGAGAATGTCTTGAAGGTCATAGGTTCTTGGTTGCCATTCATGTATGAACGAGGCTTTCTAGACATAAAATGTAAAGAAAATTGCAAAGCCAAATAGAAAATTGTTATTAAGATCGTTAAAGATATTTGAGGTTAAATCGATGGCAATAGACTTAATCCGCATACAGCATAAAATAATTTTTTATACACAGCATATCTTCACACATTTTACAATATTCAAATATTTAAGGAAGACGAAGAAGCTCATAATTTTGTAAACATTATCCATTCCATGCTTGAAGCATTTTCAGCATTGACGATAAAAATCATAAATGTTACATACACTGTAGCTGATAAAATTGGAATAATAAATAATGGAGAAAAAAAAATTTATTCTTTATTGAAAATGTCGAAATTGAATATTAAACGTGATAAATTTAAATTGCTTGTGTATCTTGTGTTTATGACATTAATAATGAAAGTCATGCATCTGGTGTAATTCAAACGAAGATTAATGCTTTTGTCATTCATCGATTGGTGATGGGATTTTTTACTTTACTGAAGCTTCAGTTTTGATGAATTTAGAGTATCATCAGTATAGCAGAGTCAAATTAATTTGGGGGTGAGGTGGAGGAGGGGGGGGGGGGGTATTTTTATTCGAGTCTAGTCAAGCAGATCTAAATCTAAATGTAATTTAAGTCGGCTTAAATGGATTAACGACTTAAAGCTGCTGGATAGAGTTCCATCAAATTTATTTAAGGTAATCAGCATAAACTTTCAACTTTGTTTGAATTTTTGTACTTTTTTCTAATACTTATCATGATAATACAGCATAGTTCAAATATAGACAAGATGGAGAATCCTAAAAATAATCCAACAAGGCCACCAACCTCAGCAATGACTGAAAAATTAAATTTATATTTTTAAAGTAAGTGCCGGTCATTTCCTTGCGTGCAGTGAGACTATACTTACAGTTTTGAGAATCATAAGCAACATAATATTCTTGGTGCTCAATCAAATGGTTTGATATTCTTAATTCTAATGCTGAGAAGATGTTCCTATTGAAATTTATTAAAAGTTTAATTAGCAACTATTGGAGGTCCTCGATTTGAGTAGATTCGATTTGAATAGAATTTTACTGGAACAAAACACCTGCTTAAATCGCTGACCCCCAGTATCCAGTTATTAGATTTTCAAGTGGGTGTGAAGTACGGCCAAGACCCATATCTACACAGTTCAAAAGTTATACCTAATTTATGTCATAATTATGTCAGTTACAAAAACACTTAGTTTGAATTTTGTCACCTTCGGGAACACTATGAACCAGTATAGCTGATTTTATAAAAAATAATATTGGTATGTGATTTATGTCAGAATTATGTCAATTCAAATAATACATACAAAAAAATTTTTTGACCAAAGTACACCATAGAAAATCAATTTTCAATTTTGGACTAGGGGCGACCTTAGTCATCAATTTTGTCACTTTTTTCTTCGAGGGTTTATCCAAATGGATTAAAAATTTGCATAAATATTCTAGTGCCTAAAACAAATACAAAAAAAACATTCTAAATTTTTTTGAGCAAAGAACTAAGAAGGAAATACATTTTCAATTTTGGACTAGGGGCGACCCTAGTCAAAATCAATTTTGTCACTTTTTTCTTCGAGGGTTTATCCAAATGGATTGAAACTTTGCATAAATATTTTAGTGCATTAAAAAATACAAATAAAACATCTTAAAATTTTTTCGACCAAAGAACCAAGTAGGAAATACATTTTTAATTATGAACTAGGGACAAGCCTAGTCAAAATCTAGTTTTTCGCTTTTTTTTCTTTGAGGATAAATCCAAATACAGTGAAACTTTGTACGAGCATTTTAATACTCATTTCACACATTTCTGAATACATAAAAATCATTTTACTCGTACAATGGACAAAATTTTAAGTTATGTTGTTTTTGAATGAACAACCAAATTTATAAAATTTTGGTTTGACGACTTATAGAATACAATTTTTGTTATAGATATTTAAAACTGTTTGGCATAAATATTAGTATACTCACACAAAGTTTCACTGTAATTGGATAAACATTACAAGAAAAAAAAGCGAAAAACTGGATTTTGACTAGGCTTGTCCCTAGTTCATAATAAAAAATGTATTTCCTACTTGGTTCTTTGCTCAAAAAATTTTAAGATGTTTTATTTGTATTTGTTTTAAGCATTAAAATATTTATGCAAAGTTTCGATCCATTTGGATAAACCCTCGAAGAAAAAAGTGACAAAATTGATTTTGACTAGGGTCGCCCCTAGTCCAAAATTGAAAATGTATTTCCTTCTTAGTTCTTTGCTCAAAAAAATTTAGAATGTTTTTTTTTGTATTTGTTTTAGGCACTAGAATATTTATGCAAATTTTTAATCCATTTGGATAAACCCTCGAAGAAAAAAGTGACAAAATTGATGACTAAGGTCGCCCCTAGTCCAAAATTGAAAATTGATTTTCTATGGTGTACTTTGGTCAAAAAATTTTTTTGTATGTATTATTTGAATTGACATAATTCTGACATAAATCACATACCAATATTATTTTTTATAAAATCAGCTATACTGGTTCATAGTGTTCCCGAAGGTGACAAAATTCAAACTAAGTGTTTTTGTAACTGACATAATTATGACATAAATTAGGTATAACTTTTGAACTGTGTAGATATGGGTCTTGGCCGTACTTCACACCCACATTTTCAAGGTTCCCTCCTTTAATATTCACAAAACTTCCTTACTTATCATCCTTTTCCATAAATGTGACACTCTTTCCAGTCCGTTCACTTTGCACGCTATACTCAATATTGCTGCATGGCGGATAGCATTCACATGGTATCTTAAAGTGCTCATCATTGCGATCAGGCCAATTTTGTGTGGCATTATAGTAACAATAAACTTTTTCAAGGTCACATATTGGAGTGACTTTAGTGTGTGGCATTGAAAACTTTACACATCCACATTTGTTTAATGTGTAATTTGTCATGCATTCATATTCGCAGTGTGCTTTTGTGTAAGTTTTGAAAAATTTTAATGGCTTTTCTCCTGGAAAATAGCATTGTCTTTTATGTGGATTTAAATGACGCAAATTTTCCCTAGTTTTGTATGACTTTGCAGTGACCATAACTTTTTTATCGTCATTAAATCCAACAAAATATTTTTCATGAATTGTTGTTGGCATTTCACTTGGAAGATGTAGCATAAAAATAAATCCACCGCCTGTACTTGCACAAAAATCAACTTGATAATCATTTGACCATCTGATATTGAATGTTACAAAGTGCTTCCTTTCAGCTCTAACAGGCCAGACTTCTTCCTTTTCTGTTAAATATCCATCTTCGAGACTCCAATAAATTTTATTATTTCTAATTCTTTTCCTTTGCTTTTTCTTTCCGTTTTTGGATCTTAGCATTATATTCGTGACTGGATATTCAGATATGTCATTACTTTTGAATATTGTATAGTTTTCGCTGACTATCTCTTGCTTGAAGACAACATCATGACCCTGCCAATTATATGTTTCACATGCTCCGTAATCTGTAAATGTTCTTGAATACAGCAAGTCACATCTAATCATAATTCCTTTGAATTGACAAAAATTGTATTGCATTGGATCTAAAACATCATAAAGTAACTTCAGGACATTCTTTTCAGTTCGATTAGGTAAAAGCTTTGTAATGACGTCATCAGTATAGAGTTCTGGACGGCACGTATGATAAAATAGCTGTAAATAGTTTTGTTGCTCAATTGTCAATTCCATTATGCTGAAATGATCGTAAAAATCTTCAGCTATGTACTGTACATTAGTCAAATCTTGAATACGATAGTCAAAAGCTGTTGTGCAGATTGTGACAGCTGGAAATGGAATTTCACTTGCTGGTTTTAGCTTTGTACTTTGTGCGATATCTGGGTAAATTTGCCATTTTAAGTATGACGAGATGATGCAGTAGAATAGTCCAAAAGTAAGAATCATGATCCATAATACTTTAAGCAGTTTATTTAAGGAACGTAGAAATTGAAAATTAAATTTAATATTCGACATCCTAAATGAACTTTTTGATTGAAATATGTTTTAAAAACTACTAAATCATTTCTTCTATCAAGCTGGTAATGACTATGTGGAACTGAAACTAAGCTTTGCGTGTGCATTTAACATTTTTAATCTAATTATCTTTTTTATTTGATTAATATTTCAATTTAAATGCACAATTCATGTAATTTTATTTTATTAATGCGATAAAAAAAACCGTGTTATGCTTTAATGTACTAGAAACTAGTTTTTGGACTCTAAACTTTCCATTAAAATGTTGAAAAACCTTAATTTTACATGCATAATACATAAAATCATCAAAAGCTTAGCTAATTGAATTGCTAAAGCCCAATAATTATTAATTCATTGAATGATGCTGTGTAAGCTATTGGCAAAATTGGAAGATAATTGAATAATCTCATAAGATTACATTGACTTACTTCGAAGCTTCTTTAATGCTATAAATATCGATTATGATACAATTTACGTCAAATATTCTTCTAGTCATTAAATTGAAATTTTATTGTTGTTTATCTTTCAGGTAAAGTTTGTGCAGATTCAAATTCTTCGCTATACCTTCTTAGAAGCACTTGATTAACATGGTTGAGGTGAATTTATTAATATTTATATTTCATAGTTTTGATCAATTTTGATATTTACGATGTACTTTGAGTTCACATATTTAAGGGATAATTTATGCGGATGTCCTTAATTACGTTTATTATGTTGGCAGCCTTTGAGCATTGGTTTTAATTAATAAAGGTCAATAATCTTATTCTGTAGCTGTTTTATGTATGCGATAAAGTTTTGATTGTTGTTTAATCTGTAAATCATTCCTTTCCCCAACTAACCCTTGAAGTAAGACCCCATCGAGAAATAATAATAAAAATTTGACCCCTCTGGCTACGTCCCTTCTCTGAAACTTAAACAAATTAACAAATTTATGACTTTAAGGATTATTAATTTTTTTCTCCAGAATATAAAATACTTTGCAGCTTTTACGAGTTTCCCTGAGCTTCCAAATTGCTTCTACCCACATTGACTGCCCAATTTTTTATAAGGCTTCAAGCAACGAGTGATTTACATGCAAATCTTCTTCTAAATTTGGATAAGTGAATGACGTATGACTTTAAATGTTTTAAATAAATAAATTTTTTTGTGCTATATTTTTGGAAGTTAATTGAAATTTAAATAACGAAACATGCTTGTCGATGTGGTAGACCTCGGGCAATGAAGGAGCTACATTTATTAAAATTGTTTGACTTTCGAAAAAATTCTTTGAACTGAAGTATTTCTGTCAAACCTTAAAAATTCTGAAAAAAATCCTGAAAAATTTAAATTCAAAAAAACTTTTACTTTTTACATTATCCATTTATTAATCTTCATTTTTTCCTCATTTATCATCAATAATAATTATTTACAAATTACTATGCATTAGCACTTTTCATCATTTTTTTTAAATGCTTAAAACTTCATTACTTGTGGGTATGTGTGAATTTTTTTACCGTCATTTGGATTATGCCTACTATAGTCATAAATATTTATCAAATTTTCATCCATAAAACCTCCTAAATTATTCCATTTTTCTCATTACTTCTAAAAAAATCAATTTAAATTTAAATATTCTTTTTTTTTCACCTTTTTTTTCATCAATAATTAATTAGTGAGAGTGTGTCTGTGTGTATGTATAAAAAATGAACTTTGTAGTTTATTCTTGTTTTATCTTACGAGCTAGTCTTAGGTTTCATTCATGAGTTTTAAAAATCTCATATCTATTTTGCGTCAAAAATTATAAAAATTTAAACAATAATAATATAAAAATTTGTTGGTAGTGAATTTTTGGGGGGTGTTGATGGAACTTTTTGTGGGTTTTTAATACTTTTTTTGGTAGATTTTGAGTAAGTTTACTCAAATTAAGTTCAGATTTTTTTTGACTTTTTTTAACTTTCACCCCAAAAATTGCCCGCAACACCCTCCAAAAATTCAACACCAACGTCTTCAACAACCTATAATGTACACATTTTGCTTGTATAAAAAAGAATTCAGTAAAAAAGTTTCTTAGGCAATTAATTAATTGTGATAATAGTAATGATAATTAAAAAATAAATTCGACGTAGACTTGAGTGAATTTTCCTTATGCTTTGTATTTCCTTTAATTAACAGATTCTATTTTTATGTTTTTTCTTTAAAATTGGGGGTTTGGGTGATTTTGGTTGGGGTATTGATCTGGAAACTCTTAAATTTGTTTTGAAAAATTGATTTTTTTTTAAATTTTTCTCACAAAGTTTTAAAAAATTTATGAATTTTTGGAACTTAAACATTTGAGAAAGTTTGAAGAAAATCAAAAAAAAAAATTGAAAAAGTTCGAAATGGTTCGTAAAATGTTGAAAAAATTTTTAAAAAAATTCTAAAAAATATGAAAGAGTTTGAAAAAATTTAAAAACGTTTGTAAAATTTCAAAAACTTTTAAAAAACTTCAAAAAAGTTTGAAAAAGTTCAAAAAAGTTCAAAAAAGTTTAAAAAAAAGTTCAAAAAGTTTGAAAAAGTTCAAAAAAGTTTGAAAAAGTTCAAAAAAGTTTGAAAACGTTGAAAAAAGTTTGAAAAAGTTCAAAAAAGTTTTTAAAATTAAAAAACAATTTAAACAGTTTAAAAACAGTTTTAAAAACTTTGAGAAAATTCAAAATTCTTTAAAAAAATTCAATTTTTTTTAAAATAATCAAAACAATTTCAAATCAATTTCTTCATCAATTCCCCAAACCAAAATCACCCCATACAAAAAATTAATATTTCCCATCCACCATTTCCAACTTTTAATATCGATTATTTCTCGGTTCTGTATTGCATAACATTTTTTTTAAATTTAATTAAACTTCTTTGTATCGTGCCATGAATTATATAATTTTTTTTTATTATTTTATATTCATTTTTAAACTGTAATCGGTGCAAAAATAATGTTTTGCTTATAACATGAGATTCATCTGCCGTATTATAATATGAGTACTTTTTTTTATTTCTTTATATGTATATGGATTAATAACATTTTCTTTTATAGCCATTTTTTTCTTCATCTTCCTCACTGAATTGAATTGAAAGCCTTATTTTGCTTATATTTTTTTTTTTGGATAAGAAGGAAGAACTGAATGGAAATGAAGAGGAAGATTTAAATATAAATGGTTGTTGGATATAAGAAATAATTTTATTTCGATGTCTTAACGAAGCTTTTTTTGGAATTTAAAGAGAGCAAAATGTTGGAAAATTAGGTTTGATGGGGTTTTGAGTAGACTTGAGTGGTTGCTTTGAAGCTTTGAGTGGATTTGGTTCTTGACATTGAAACTTTTATGTTTAAATGAGTTTTAAGGCATGTGTTTTCGGTTTTATGCTTAATTTGATGCTGTTCATTTGAGGTTTTAATGTTTTCCATCAAAATGAAGATTTTGGAAAATTCTGAGATATTGAATGTAGTGTTTAAGGAACTGCAGCTAATAATTCAATATAAATCTTACTTCCCATGCTTAAAACATAACTGAATTATCGAATTTTCTGAATATCGATGCTGTTTTACATCAAGAACTAAACACATATCTCCGAACACCTCCAACCATCCATATTTTGTAATTCAACCTTATTGCACCTGAAAAACTCTAGCTTCAACTAAATTACATTAGCTTTAACATTCTACGAAACAAACCCGAAACGAAATCACCCAATTAGCATCAACATGCTTTTCATCTTCCAAGAATTTCTCATTCAACAGCTCAAAGGTTGAAAAAACAACCAAATTTCAAATAACTGGCTAATTGCGTTAAAATGACAGCAGGCAGTGCTACATGCGATACTTGAAGTGTCATTTTACAGCACTCCTCAGTTCCCCGTGAGGCAAAAATAGCTACAAGAATCTGATCGCATTATTAAAATTAATTGAGAATTAAACGAAGTGAAGTGAGCGACTTGCAATAGAATTCAGATTGAAAATCTCGTCTGCTGACTGGAGACGATGCGGAATGAGGAAATGTCATCTCTACTCTTTAAATTCACATTATACAGGAAGTTTTAATGAAGCATCATTAACTTTTATGCTTATGTCATAACTTTAACCCTTTCAGCGTTTACATTACAGCTGCTGAACAAAAAGGGATTATGCTTTTTACGTGCACGAGACCTTATCACGACTTAATAGCTCTTAAGTTTGCTTTATTGACATTTTTTATCCACCTTTGATGTAATTTTTTACTTTGAATCTGTTTTGTAAGAGAATTCATTGAACCTGTGATAAGGAACTAATCTGTTTGATGTTTTACAAAGTTACACAACATATCATGTAGATTGAACTAATTTATTAAAGAGTCTTTTGACAACAAGAAGTGCATGTAAAGCTATTAGGTTGGAAAAATCTCTTTTTAAATTTTATAAACTACAAAATATTCAATAAAACATGAAACTTTGTTTCGTTGCTTAGCATTAATGCGAATGCAAAAGGGAGAAGAACCCTGGGAATTCACTCGAAAACTCTTATTGTTGTGATTTAAAATTCTGTGGACATAAAAAGTAATCAGGAGAATACATCATAAATGTAGCCACGACAATTGAAGATTTTTTGAATTTATTCAATCAAATTCAATGAGTTTTATGAGAAATTGTTGAAGTTTTGGGATCCTTTTATGGGATTTGTTCCACAATTTGCAGAATTTTTGAGTCTTTTGATGCATTGATCAATTCTTGGTATCAAAAAAGTTTATGTTTGAAAGAGAAATTCGACTGGATTGGTGAAAAACTTTTAACATAACAAGGTTGGCTTTATTACATTTTTTAAGCTTGCCATCACAACCTAGCTAGAATCTAGCTGCAAACTAGCTTCATTTCTATAGTATTAAGTTTTCAATGTTGGGTGAAAATCAAGCAGAGCTCAATCAAAATCAATGAAAATCTCAAGTAGACTTCAAACTTGCTTCAAACTTTGAATTCAAGGATGTAGAGCTGATCAAAAAAAGGCTAATCTATTCTGCTACCTTGTT